AGTTCATGTTTGGTAAAAAAAATATCGAAATTAATTTGAAAAATCAAAGAAGCCGCAACTTTATAGTAGAAGCGACAACGCCGTTTAGTCTGAAATATTTTAGGCGTGTAGGTCATATTGATTTATGCATACTGTGAAATTTTCAGGTTGATCCGTTGAATAGTTTGTCAGAAACGGCTAATTAACGCTCATCATGAAAAGCCCTGTATAGTTCTATTAAAAGAAAATCAATAAAAGCATGTGAAATTATAAAACCAATATGAATATAAAAAAGTTGAAAAAGCTCAATGAGAGTTTTTAATCAAAAAAACAAAAATAAAGCTCAGTCGAAGGAGCCATCTAGATATTTCTGTACACTATATAACCAGTTTTCAAAAAAAAATCCCTTGAAATTGTTATAAAACGTAATGGCTAGATTCTTTACCGTCTGGCGCAGTTGGCCAAATGACTCCTAAAGGTAGTATGACTACGGAAGCTTTTATCGACTGGATTCACCATTTTTCACTTCCTGGACGATGCCTTCTCATGTTTGATGGGGCTAAATGCTATTCAGACACTTCCATTATAGGTGCTACAGATATGTTTGAAATAACGCTGTTTTGCTTACCCAGCAATCCCACACATGAGCTTCAACCAATGAACAAGTCAGTGTTTAGGTCCTTCGAGTATTTCTGGAATGAAGGAGTCTTGAAATATACTGGGCTCTTCATTGGGATAGAGGAATTACCAAACAGAGATTTGGAACAATTTTTTCTAAAGTTTCGGACAAGGTTCTAACGCCTTCTAATATTGGAGCTGGTTTTGAAGCTAGGGGAATATATCCGATTGATCCCACAAGGATTCCCGAAGAAACATTCCAACTTATCTTATGTTATTTAAATGTTTCAAATGAGCGAGTTAGAATTCGATGCCAATACAAACAAAAGTTGACAACAGTTCAGATAAATGCGATGACAATGTTATACCATCTGATTTGAATATGAACACTTTATTGGGATAGTTTTCAAATTAGGATGAGGTGTGGGTTGGTATTCTCTATAAATTACAGAAAGATTTTTTTCTCAAAAAATTGACACATTTGAACAAATATATTAATGGGCTCGTTAATAGTTCCATTCGATATATGTTGGTTTTCTATCCTTATATCCCATTTCAAAAATCGATCCTGCAATGCCTTTTTGCACTATAAATCCTATTGAAATCCTTGCCACAACCCTGATATTTATTATGTAAAGCGAAATATGAGAATAAGCCATAGCATAATAGATTGCCACTAGACCTTGTTGGTCAATACAGTTTTTCATTTGCTCAATCGCAAAAAATTCTTTGTCAGTTCGTTGCAAATACTATCGATGTGCAAATTCTAGCTAAATGATTTATTCACAATTGTTCCCAAAAATTCAACTTGATGTGACATATTGTATAATATCACAAAGAGCTATTTCATAGTTTCATAATTGTTCATTGAGAATTATTATTGTTTATCCTTTAAGACATTAGCAGAATATAGGGCTTGTCAGCAAAGTGAAATATTCAATTAGTAATGCACTACAGCTAAGGACATGTCAGTGAAAAGAGAGATTATTTTCATCGCCAATGAAATAAGTAGACAGATCGTTAAACAACTATAAAATCAACAGAGCCTTGAGGAATCCTAGAACCCAACCCATGATGGTCCGATTTTACATTATAATGTTAACAAAATCTGAAAGAAAGTCGATATCATGAGTGGAATGGATGACATATACATGTTCAGAAGGTTACCACAAAAATGCCTTAAATGACACTTGAATGATTAATGTCATATGATGGAAGTTTCAATAATATTTTCCAACATAAGTTTTTGAATCTCCCATTGGCGCGTTATTTAACTCTATAGATAATTTTCTGATTGACTCAGCCTTCGAAAGTAGCTAGAATTTTATTATCCGCATCCTCCTCTACTGCAAGCGCTTCTTCTTGGTGGTCTGTAATTGGATGAACTGCCTCCACCCATTAAAGGACTGTATTCTAAAAAAAAAAACAAATTGAACACACATTCGATTACAATATTGAGAAATCTATGAGATAATATTGTCATAAAATGAAAGTAGAAATATGTACATGGCAAACAAAAAGCTACAAATTACAAAGTTCAAAATCTAAAAATCAAAAATTGTACCTGGTTTGAAGGACTTTTTAGTTTTATCATCAGCAGACGGTCCCAACCTGTGACCACTCTCATTACCAAACTTTTCAAGGATTTCTTCTCGCTTTCTAGCTTCCCTCTGAAAATAAATATACACTGAATGAAAATTTCTATATTTTTAAACAGTATAATAACAATACTAAATTCTACAGAGCATCTGCTCGATCAGTTTTTGCAAATGTGTGAGCTTGTGCGGGATAATTTTCTACTGCTAACAGAGGAGAATATGACTAGTAGTTTCTAAACAGCCTAAGAGCCTATGATTCAAATATGAACAATGCGCAATCCTTCATTTGCAATGGTTCAAAATCATTTAGGATCTACATACATTCCAAACAGCAAAAATAAAATCAATGATGAAGACCCAATTATACAAGTCCTAAGAAGTAGTTGATACATTGGCAAGTTTTGAGCAGTGTCGATCTTCCCCTTTATTCCCACTAATCGTACAAATACTCAGAAACTATCAATACTGAAGATATATCTCAAAACGAAGTGAGAGATCATAAAAAAACTCATTCCCTGTGTAAAATTGTCAGTCAATTCTATCTGTGCCAGTATGCCACATTTACAATTTGCAATTGAACACCACAATTTTTTCCGAAAAGTGGAAATTACCAAAGTTATGTCCCATTTTGAAGGGTGGTGACCTGTCTGCAACATAGAGCAATCTCCATCCCTACTTATTTGACTACTGCCAACATTTGGATAACCTACCTCCATAGCGATTTTATAGAATTCTTCCAAGATATTTTGAAATTAGAGATCTATTATTTTTTTCTATCTTCACGACCCAAAATTTCCCAACTTTTTCCCAAGTCGAAAAAGCAGGGGGAAGCTCCCCCCAACGGCGACGGTCCTGTTCACATTAGATTAGTTTTAAAACAAATGTTGAATATTGGTTAATTTTGCATAAGTAAAAGATACTCTTAGTTGTAAACTTGTATTATCACTGCTCAATATTGATTATTGTTTTGAATAAAGGATACTTTTAATATTGTAAATTTGCATTATTATTACTTTCTCTGGTAAATAACGATGAGATTGGAACCTTTGGTGTGAAAGTTGAATAACTTTTTTCTAGATCAATTGCCCTAACACCAAACTGATATTTTTACACTCGACGCGCGTTTCGCCAACAAAGTTAGCATCCTCAGTAGAAGAATCAAAAATATCAGTTTGGCGAAAAAAGTTATTTCTCTGGTAAGAAAAATTTCGTTTAAAATATATCTTTAATTAAACTCCAGGCGAGACTAATATGTTATTGAGGTTTTTAAGATGAAAAAAATGGTAAAAAAACCTGATTTTGTATTTACAATTGAGTTGATAATGTCGCACTTCGGTAATCATTGCAACCTCACAATGAATATTTCTAGCCAGTCAATACTGAATGGCCTTCATTGGATTATATACACTAATTGTTCAAGAAGTAGTATTTATTATATTAAAGACAACAAGTGTTCAAACCTTGGCGTTATTATTTAACCAGTCTGATACAAAACAACAGGCGTTAGACGAAATAAGTTTGGGAACCTCTGCTTTGGATGAATTGGCATGAATATATCACAGTGCAATCATAAGAATTAACCAAAAAATATATCAATTTCGTTGTATAAGAAATGTTGATTCACACTGCCAGAAATTTATATTTTTCCGAAATCCAGTTGCTACTACTGACCTGCCTGTGCATAATGGGAGTTGCCTGTTACATTATTAAAAGCAATCTATCATTTTAGAAATGAACCCACCCAATCGAAATTTCAGAACATCATGAAAAAGTTTTTCTCTAGACATTTATTTTATAATATTCCTGAATTTTTAACAAGTTTTTAACAATGTTTTTGTATTTAAATTATATGTGTATTTTTATTACCAATAAATTCGCTTTAGATTTACTCTATTTGTTGTGACAATTTCTATATGAATGGTCTTTTGAATGAATAAATAAATTTGAATTTGAACTGTGAGCGCTTAGTGAGCTATATTCATTTTGAACTATTCAAAAACCTTTTCGCTAAAATAATTTCATTGATGTCACGCATAACAAATATTGAAAAAATTACAAAATCATCCCAATGAATGTTTCCAACAAACGGTGGATGGGAAGAAACAGGAAGGCATTGGGATGTCTGAAACAAATAAGGATAATGGAAAAGCCATTTTGGTTTTCCACTTCTCCATCAATGTATAATAATAATATTTATTTGTCCTTAAAGAAGTTGACAAACGTATAGGATAGGTCAGTACTAAGCACATAAAAAGCACATCAAACGATAAAATTGTAGATCCGTAGATAAAAATAATACAATAAAAATTTATNTTATTTTTTAGATTGTTAATTACTGCGTCAATTTCACATTCGTTAACGGGCATAAAGAAAAAAGTATTCGATTCAATTCCAGAAACCGTGCATACGGATGATCTATTGTCGCCAAAATGGTCTGCTAAGCTATTTTCTACTACTGAAGAGAAATAGTCCCCAAATATGTTCGCAACATGATCTCTGTCTGAGATTACTTTATTATTATAGTTGAGAGTAATATCTCTTTGGATTTGTTTTCTGTTCGTTTCTTTGTTAACTAGGTTCCAAACTGTTCTATTTTTATTGTTAGAATTCTTAATTACATTTTCGTAAAAATTCAACTTTGAAGCTTTTATTAATGAGTCATAGTCTTTCGTTGCCTATATTTTTACATAACCAATGCATACTTTTTATATCAAGACTGGCCTGTTTCACTTCAGGAGTTATCCAGTTATGTTTGTTACCAGTGGACGATTTGTATTTTTTGGTCGGACATTTATCGATAGCATCACTTATAATATTCATGAAGGCCAGAAAGCTCTCATCTCCATCAGTTTTGTTATATATTACATCAAAACTGGTTTTGGACAATGTCGAGGAGAGTTGTTTTAAGTTATGCTCTGATACATCTCTATACATAACACAAGATTGTTCAACAATTTTAGATTTTTCTAATGGCATATTATAAGTAACTGTGAATACTTTGTGATCACTGAAACTACCTTCATAAACATTAGATTTGCAAAACATGTTCTCAATGTTTGTTAGTATGTAATCGTTCTCCTCTTTCAAGTAATCCACTTCAGATAGAACCTCTGTATTTTGATCTGCTGCCCGGTATATTACATTAGGAAACACATCACAACATACTTTAACTCGTTTTGCACAACTGTTGTGGTAGGTAGAATCACATGTGATACAGCATAACCCCGAATTGATGTATTTTTTACAATAATTGCAACATTTTTTCGACCCATCTAAACCAACACTTTTGTCGGCCGCCATCTTACTTCATATAGTTATTCATACAGTTGAATATACCCAGAAGTTACTTTCAGATTCAAACCGAAACAGAAAGTTCATTCAAAACTATTACTTTAGAATATGAACTCAACTATAGTGTGATAGAAAGTATGTTTGCCAAACTACTCAAAACTATTAAATAGATAGAAATTTATTTCATATTTTGTGTTTGTTTTACAAGTGACATTTTGCGAGGGAAAAAAATCTCTCAGAAGTTAAAATATTAAAAAATACAGATACAAAATGGAAATAAAAAATATTTAAAACATACACAAAATAATATTGGAATATAACTTTCTAATGACGAAGTTGGATATATTCTCTTAGCCAATGAAAGGCGTAAGGAATGAGAAACTTTTTCAGATATAGCTTAAAATTTTTCAAATCAGTCGAGTTTCAAATCTACAGGTAACAAGATGAGAAAAAGTACTCCAGCATACAATGAGGACTTTTTATGTTGCATTCTTTGCACGTGCTGGAAAAGCTGCAAACTGCCACATTAACAAATTACTGGTTGATTTTTTGAAAACTGCATTTTGCAAATTCAAATAGACTACTGCACATATTGTCATTAGGTAGAATCAATGTGAAAATTTTGATAATATAATTAAGATTGATTTTATGACTGTCAAAGCCTCAGTTCGAAAATCATTAACAAATTCAGTTATTCTTTCTAAGAGCAATTTGAGAAACTTATAAGGAAGAATTTAGATTCATTATGGGATACTTGTTACGAGTTGTGTTGAGGCTGATCCCAGAAAAAGGTGGCCACTTAATTTCAATATTACAGAACTGGAAACCAAGCAAAATTTTCCAAAGTTGCAGTGGAAGAATAGTTGTCAACTATGTTCATGATTGACTTTCACGTATGTTCTAGAACCCTGGATTCTAGATTAGTTCCAGAAGCTTATTTTGAATATATAAGGAAAAATGAATCTATAAGATAAGGAATATATAATTTAAAGACTCTTTTGGGTATTACTGGAGTTTTTTTTCCCAACACCAAATCGTTATTTTCAACACCTCGACAAGTGTTTCGATCACCAAGTGATCACATTCAAAGAGGAAGATTGAACAGTAAACCAGTTTTTAATCTTCCTCTTTGAAGATGATCACTTGGTGATCGAAACACGTGTCGAGGTGTTAAAAATAACAATTTGGTGTTGGGAAAAAACTCCAGTAATATTCATTACTACACCAAAGGTTCCAAACAGTGCATCTTTTGGGTATAGAAATTATCACAACAGAGTAAATCTAGAATAGGAAACAGTTGTGAACATTTTTGTGTCGTGAGTTGTTTTCTTAAAATATAAATATTGAGTGTCAGATTGAAGAAATGTCCGTTGTCAAGTTTTGATGTTTTAACAGTTGTCTTCAATAAAGTAAGTAGTTAACCACCAACTGCATCACTTATTTTCAAACCCCAAAAATCCTCATCTACACATAAGAAATATTCCATTGAATAAATTGAAAAACTTAATAATCTTTTTGATTGTCAAAATCGAGAGTACTTTCGTGTGTGGAAAGAGTAATGTTACTTTTACAATTTAAATTGATCTAGAGGAAGAAAATGTCTAAATTACTAATGATAAACTTGCCTCAAGAGAACAGGATGATATTTTGTGAATCACCCCCATAACTAATCATTTGCAAATGGACTTATTCTATAAATAATTTAGACTAAGCAGTTGTTGTTTTCTCAAACTTGAGAAGGGCCTTTGAAACAACTGACCGTTATACATGGCTAATCAAATGCCGCTGGATTTTGTAAACGGTGATAGAGAGTAGGTTGAATGGTGGTAAAGTTGCCAATTTTTGAAAATTATTGAACATTACCAACAAACCCAGTTTAGTTCTTTTGATTCTGCAAATATATGGGAAAAACCTAAAAATTTCAAATTCCATTTTTTGACTGTTTTCTTTGTTTGAAAAGATATTGAAGAGGAAATTGAGAAACATATAATTTCAAAGAACTTTGAATGGATGATTTCCTTGAAAAAAACTTACACGTATTATGTTTAGAATAAATACTATGTTTAGAATAAATCAACACATCGATGGTTTAGCACACAGATGTATTAAGTACAATTCTGTGGTTAAACAGTGTTAAGTACGTCTCTGAGTATATAGTTGATGTATATTTGTTGTGCCCAAATGTGGTAATTGTTTACAAGGTCAAAGTCATATCTAAAAAGCTTTCAAGAGGCGAGAAAATGTTGGAAATCACTCTAGCAGCAAATACAGAAGCATCAACGTCTTTTGCAACTACTGAAACACATTTTTCTACAACTATTTGAATATTCCGTTAGTATAATATATGGAGGTTTTGAGTTCTTAATAAGACACCTCGGTTTTTGATAATGACGAATTATCAAAAAACGACAATCCGTTTTATTTTGAATCGGGTTCAAGTGATTTGTATGAACTGAGTGAGACAACAGTTGATTCAGATTCTGATAATCATTTCAACTCGAAAGTAACAGAATACAAAGGTAACGTATATTTGTTTCGAAATGGATTATCATTATTCATGAAGTAACACCAATGAATAAGTTTCAATTGTCTTCATGCCACCTTGATTTATTTCATAGAAATACGTATTTCATAGAAATACGTAAGAAATCACATGTGTTCTACAAAATGACCTCTGTTTTTGAAAAGAACTCCTTGTGGGAACTGTAAATCAAATTGAAGCATCTGAAACAATGCCACTAGAAGCAGCCATAAGAAGAAAACGATCTAGAAAATCAAATCAAGCTGTATGGAGATATACAAACAGAAGTGGCAGAGAAATATCCACAAAAGAACTGGGCGTAGTTGATTGTTCAAAATGCAGGTTTGAAACGTGTGTTATTCGAAAGAATATTTTTCACAAAAATTCAATTTTCAGGTATAAATTTCCTGAAATGCAGCGTATTATTTTGTGTAGGGATTATTGGGGACTTGCGGATGACAAACAACAACAAAATTTATCAAAGGTCATTGACAGCAAATTAACCTTTTTGTAACAGGTAGGTACGCAGAAGCAAAGTAGCACATCCAGGGAATATTACGTAACAGATTCGGGAGGTATGAAACAGCGAGTGTGTTTGAATTTTTTGTGTGCAACTGAGCTGGTTGAGCTTTGCATGAAACAAGCAAGTCTGGATTGCACGCAGGATGTGATGGCAGGTCTTTAAGAAACACAGTTTATAATTCGACCCCAGAAGAAAAAATAGTTGCTGTAAAAGCACACATTGATTCGTTTCCTCGTGTTGAGTCTCAGTATTGCAGAAAAGATACACAAAGACTCTATTTAACACTCGAGTTGAATTTGTCTCGCATGTATTGGCTATACTAAGATGACTATTGTAAAGAAAGTAATATTACACCAGTGTCTTCTTTTGTACACCGCAATATTTTCAATTCATATGATAATCCATCACCGTCATTCTTCATTCCAAAAAAAGATCAGTGCACTACATGTAATGCCTCCATTCTCCCACTGTACAACTATTTTGCAAGACAAGAAGAAGAAGCTATGAGAATGAAGTCTTTGGATGAACTGAAGATGAAAGCTGATAAAGGTGTAACTTATAGATCAATAACTTTTGATCTTGAATCAGTTTTGAGTGTTCCATTTTCGGGAGATAATAAAATTTATCACAAATGTAAACTCAATGTTTTCAATTTCCCCATCATGGATGCAGCCAAAAATTATGGTTTTTGTTATTTATGGGATGAGTGCAATGGAAAAAAGGGTAGTACTAAAGTGGCCAGTTGTCTTTTGAAGTTCATTTTTGATTCACCTGATACTGTATGTCACATATCATCTTTCAGTGATATGTGTGGAGGACGGAACCGTAATCAGTTCATATCTGCGGTAATGTTGTATGCTGTCAACAAAAAAGCACAATTTGGAAACAATTGATTTGAAATATATGAAAGCAGGTCATTCTTATTTAGAATGTGATTCTATGCAAGCAATGATTCAACGGAAGAGAAAACATGAAAGTGTATACTACAAGAGAATGGGCTCTGTTAACAGCAGGAGCAAGGATAAAACCGTCCCCATATAAAGCGATGACGATGACATGCACAAATTTTGTTGACATTAAATGAGTTATTTCGGGAAATGTGTTCAATGTTAAAGTTTATACCCAAAAGGAGAAAGATAACTGGCTGCATATTAAATGGATTCGAATCTAGAAGAGCAAGCCAAAGATTATTCTGTATATGTACGATCTACCCGAACAATCCTTTTTAGAAATTAACAAACAAGAATTACCAAATGAAAATATTACTACAAGAATTAAGCAAAAATGGCTTTGAATTGGTTATATCTAAATTTGAAACAAATGTATACCTCCAAGCTACCGGTAACGAAAGCTAAGAAAACCGATCTCTTACAGCTCTTGAAATTGAAAGTAATTCCTGAAGATTATAGGAATTTTATAGAATGATAATTTTATCGAATAATGAACACCGCCTCAGAATCTGACGACGATGTTGAAACAATATAATGGTCTAGAATCTTAAACTTTTTTTTTTAGGAATGTCACCTTGGTTTTGAATAAATATTTGTTTATTCCAGCGAGATTATTTCATTCAATTTGAATAGTTAAGTATTAAGTAAGTCCTTACTTTCAAGTGACCACACAAATGAGGTAAGTACCTGGGGTTAGTTTCCAAACGTATTGAATGACTCAAATAATTTAATTGTTATTTTTCTAATTACTTGCCCACTAAATATCTGAAACAAAGTTGTTATTTGCTTTGTAACTTAGTCAAAAACTCAGCTAAAAAATTAATATCACTAATGACACAGAAGTGTGTGCAATAGCCAACTTATGATCTTTCAGATATTTTCAATTATTGCTCCAATGATATGCAACTAATATAGGCTCTTGTATAGGCATTAAATAAAAAATAACCTCTTGTATTTTTTTCTGGTATTCCTCAGCATCTTTGTTATATTTTTCTTGGAGCTTCAAAGTGCGCTTTTCTTGAGCTATCAATCTTTCAGAAAGTAAATCCGGATCTATAAAACCAAAGGAAGTTTATTCATTGATAACACAATCAGTATCACCCACTTTTGTGATATTTTGCTGAATACTCTGCTTCATCTTTCTTTTCCTGATATTCATCAATGGCAGATTTCAATAATTTCTGGTACACATAAATGAGAAGAACCAATGATAGTAGTATATACCACCCATAGTCCTCAAAAATGCCCACAGCTAAAATAAAAATATTCATGTTAAGTGACCACAATATTACTCACACAAAACCTGATGAAATAACATTGGAAAAGTGGGAAGGATATTCAATGTCGTCCTCCATTCTGATCAATATTGGGAAAACGTCACAACAAAATATTCAGAAGGAAACAAGATAATCGATCAGAAATAAACTAAAAAGCACTGAGAAGTTTCACCAAAGACCAAATGACCAACTTGTAGTCACAGATTACAACAGTTGTAATCTGTGCTTATAACCAATGGCCTGGCCATATACCATGGACATGACAAATCAAATTCCAAAATTTCACGGGGAAATATGCAACACATATAACATTTTGACGTTGAATCTGTCGTTCAGTGTGGGAGAGACGTAAATGTCAAGATATGAACTTCTTTATCTTTGTTTAGTTTTTGGAGTCAATATTCTCTCTTCAATGGCCAATCCATATTTATTATTACATCACTACCATAGACGTAGTCACTGACTTACAGAGATATCGGTAACCAAATAGCGTCAGACACTGTCAGGCAGTATCAGCGCGTTACTTTGATATTTAACTTATGCGCGATTCTTAACGCATCGTCCCTAAATAACGTTACCGCCAGCCCCTCAGAGTAACAAAAAACAATAGAGAGGCCTTTTCCATCCTTACATTGATGGCAGCATAACAATGTTTGTTTACGGGAAGTAAGTTGGACCATAAAACAGTGGCGGTTGGTTTAGTTGATAATCGGAGGGATATTATATATTTATAAAATAAATCATTTCAGGTGAAAATGTATTCTGTTCGAATAGTTCCTACAGGAAATCTGATTTATTATTGAAAATTATGAAAATGGGACCAGTTTTTCTACCACCTACTAGATTTTTATTTATGTATAGCTTTATAATAAAGCGCATGATTTACTGGGTTAAAATTAAATTATTTCAAATGAACTAATTTATAACAATGATAAATGTTAATTTCAAAATTAATGAACTTCGCTTCATGAAATCAGATGAAGAAATTTGTGATTTATTCTCAGATTTAATAAACAAGCGGTACGGTTTATGAGGTCCAATGTAAGAAATTTCTAATTAGAAATCATGAATATTTATAAATACGATTGAGGTTTGATGTTATTATGTGATTTCATTCAAAATTGGTATCTAGGGGTCTTTGTGGACCGACATAATGAAAGGGGATATTTTTGATGTTTTGAATGATCATTTTTTTGATTTTATTCTTTAAATAAAGTTTTTGAAACTAGGTTTATATTATTTCATTCTTTGACATATCCCAACCAAAAAAACGTTAGAAAAATGACAACTGTCATTTCTTATTGAATATTGTCTATATGCAACTCGAGAGCCTCGTGCAAAGAAAGAAAAGCCAATACGTAATTCATATTTTTTGTGTGACGTAAGTTAGTTGTTAAGTGAGCAATAATAGATTTAACACCGGTTGCACCAGAATAATTATTCAGTGTGCAAACTGAACATTGAGCAGAAACTTTTTTAGTCTGTTGATCACTGAATGAATATGTTTGAATACAATTTTTTTTCATTAACATTAAAGAGCACGCAGGATGTGATGGCAGGTCTTTGAGAAACATTTTCCTTATAACAGTCAGTTAGTTTGGCGCATGTTTGACAATACAGTCGATCATCACCTGTTGTAATTTCCATTTTCAGATGATTTAACAATAAGCTTTGCACGGACTGGTTATTAGTCGTATTAGGAAAAGCTAGATGAAGTTCCCGAACATCACATTCGTTTTCAGTACTTCTTGAACATTTACCACAAAGTAAACAAGTGAGAATTTTTCCAGCAAAAGATTTACAAACACAAGACCAGATGGGCTGTGCGGAATCATTCAGTCCAGAGCGGTCAGGAGTATTGATTTTGCTATTGTTTTGCTCACGAAGAGTATTCAACAAGAACCCCAAGAACGGAACAATCCTCTTGTTGTCCTAACGAGTATCTAGTGGACTTCAAAGACTCCAGGAAATCGGTTGGAGGGGAAGATGATACCTTCCTACGAAACTGCAGCTGCATGAACAGGTGTTTGAGTTTAATGAATAAGTAGGAAACATTCCCGTTCTCGTTCATCATTAAAACTTCGTTCTTGAAATTCTTCGTCATGAACAACACTTGTAAAATGCTATTCATGTATCAAGTGTTTCCTAAATTATCCAATCCAATTTTCTTCTCTATATTTTCAGGACAAATATCTACTGATTCGTAAGGAAGAACATGTTTCACAGAATCTTCATAAGAACCATTTCTCAAGCTGCGATCGATCCTTCCAAGTGAAGAAGGGTTTCGTAGAGGGATCGATTCGGCTCTTGCTTCATGAAGCTCTTCCACTGAAAGGGAACCAGTTCTACGAGGACTGCAACTCATTTTTTGGGGGCAAAATGACCTGAGTCCAATCACTTTTGAATTAACCTTGATAGGAGACTGATGAATATCCATATATCTCGGCTTGTTTCAAAGAGGTTTCAGTTCCGTACTGAAATTAGGGCAATGCATGATCTCATCAAAATTATGTGAAGGAGGAATATAATTATAATTATAGACTTCGTCAGCATGAATTATTGAAAAAAAAAACATGATGTCGGTCCACAAAGACCCCTGGATACCAATTTTGAATGAAATCACATAATAATATCAAACCGTACCGCTTGTTCATCAAATCTAAGAATAAATCACAAATTTTTTCATCTGATTTTGAAAAGCTAAGTTCATTACTTTTGAAATTAACATTTATCATTGTTATGAATTGGTACATTCGAAATAATTTAATTTTAAGCCATACATAAATAAAAATCTAGTAGATGGTAGAAAAACTGGCCTCATTTCCATAATCAATAATAATAAATCAGATTTCCTGTAGGAAGTATTTGAACAGAATACATTTTCACCTGAAATGATTTATTTTATAAATATATAATATTCCTCCGATTATCAACTAAACCAACCGCCACTGTTTTAGGGTCCCACTTACTTCAAATGTAAACAAACTCTCCATAACCTCCGAACAGTCCGAAATAGTCTCGGACACTTATTTAAACCAGAACGTTTTTGAGGAGACCACTGTGCCATCTATCGTATATATGAAGAGATAAAGACGAGAAAATACTATTGATCATGTCCATTTTGTTATGTAGCGTATTCTTGTAGTCAGTTAAAATATTACTTAATCTCAATCATCAATTATTTGAATCAAATGAATAAAAAATCATCCTAGAAAATATATTTATGTATGACTTTATAATAAAGCGCGTGGTTTACTTGATAAAAATTAAATTATGTTAAATGACCCAATTCATAAAAATAATAAATGTTAATTTCAAAAATAATGAACTTTGCTTCATAAAAACAGATGAAGAAATTTGTGATTTATTCTCAGATTTGATAAACAAGCGGTAGGTACGGTTTGTAAGGTCCGATATAAAGAATTTTCGATTAGAAATCATAATATTTATAATTACGATTGATATTATTCTTGATTTCATTCAAAACTGGTATCTAGGGGTCTTTGTGGACCGACATTATGTTTTTTTTATTATTCATGCTGACGAATTCTATAATTACGAAAAATCATTAATGTAAATGAAGAAAACTGTATTCAAAAAGGAAATATATGTGTTTCATATTTATGCCATAGGTCATATCCATTCTGTGATCAACAGATTAAGAAGCTTTCTGCTCAATGTTCAGTTTGTATACTAAATAGTTATTCTTGTGCAACCGCTGTTATATCTGTTATTACTCACTTAACAACTAACCTACGTCACATAAATAATATGATCTCCGTTTTGGTTTTTCTTTCTTTGCACAAGGCTTTTGAGTTGCATACAAACAGTATTCAATATTCAAGAAAGGACGGTTTTCATTTTTTTAACCTCTTATATGGGATATGTCAAATGATGAAATGATCTAAACCTAGTTTCAAAAACTTCATTTATAAGAATAAGATCAAAAAAACGATCATTACAAACACCAAAAATATCCCCTTTAATAATGTCGGTCCACAAAGAACCCTAGATACCAATTTTGAATGAAATCACAGAATAATATCAAACCTTAATCGTAATTATAAATATTCATGATTTCTAATCAAAAATTCTTTATATCGGACCTCACAAACCGTACCGCTTGTTCATCAAATCTGAGAATAAATCACAAATTTCTTCATCTGCTTTTATAAAGCAAAATTCATTACTTTTGAAATTATGAAATTTATGAAAGTTATGCTGCCTTCAATGTAAGGATGGAAAAGGCCTTCTCTATTGTCTTTTGTTACTCTGAGATAGTCCGATACCCGCTTCAAAATACATGTATTGTTTTGGTATAGGCACCGTATTGGCATGGCAACTCTAAGTCTTATTATCACTCTGAGGCCAGCCCTAATTCAAAGAGCACAACGACAGACGGTATTTGAAATAGCGCCTAATAAATTAACCTGCTGGGCATGCGCAACCATAGTTTTTTCATTGAAAAGTTAAAGGTTATGTAAGTTTGTTGTTATTTTGTACTTACCGTATAAAATACGACTACTTAATTCCTTCTTTTGATTTTAAGTAATAGTAAATAAATAAGTGGCTCTCCTGAAAAAAATCTTCAATTTTAACCCTTTGTTTTTTTACCGTAGTATGCGCTGGTCACGCCCTATGCCCGAAGCCACGAAACATTCAGAAGGGCGCGTTGATAACCAACGACCACTCCCCCTCACCGTGGGTTAAGTGATCATTGGGTCCGAGAATCAAATGCCCTGTGCAAGCGCAGTGAACCAAGAATGACAGCCTTCTGCATCTATCCGGCTAAAATTTCTGCCTTAGTGCGGCAAGCCGGTATGATTTTAAGATTCGAGAGTAGAGAGGGCATCTTTCAACCAAGGACTCCAATAATCAAAACAACCATCTTGACAGAGTGGTTCGAAGAGAAAATCTCGATATTTTATCCGCTTTTCCTCCTCTTTCCGGAAGATATTTGTCTCGCCAGAAGCTGAAAACTCCACAACGAATATCGTCTTACTCTGGTGGTCGAGAAGGACTACATAATACTTATTAGCTTGTATGATTCTAAGGGTGGAGAACGAATAGTTCCAATAAATTCAGCACCTCTCGTTCCCCACAACGGATTCAATATCCCCCGGAGCGTAGGGCAACACCAGTGTCTCGTCAATACCGTAAGAGGGCCGCGTTATGTCGATGGATATAGACCGAGACCGTATATGCTGGACATGCTGGTACCAAGTGCATTAGGGTCTCGGGCGAGTTAAGTAACTTTGAAGTCGAAAACCGTTTTTAAAAAAACAATTTGTTTTATTCAAAATTACAATATAAATTTCTAGAGAACTTCTCACATCGAGATCTGCAAAATGAATGAATA